ACTTTCTGCTATTCAAAGACTCACATCGACATGGGTAGCTAATCGCGGTGTTGAACATCTAAAATAAAATAACCTCGAGCGGCCATGCATAAGCAAATACTAGTCCTCGTAAAACATACTGCAGATATACATGATAGGTGGTATAAAACGAAAGCCTGGCTTCGGGCAGCCCAGCCTACTCACATACACACAGTCAAGAAAGTCTCATCTACCGAGAGAGAGAGCTTCGGTGAACATAGCATAGTAGGTTGAATCTGCCCGATACACACAGCTTGAGCTACAAAATACAAATTTAAAAGCTAGAGTATCTAGACAGAAGTGATGAATATATTGGACAGCTAATTCACCCTCTATCGCAGTACAGTTTGACCAATATATATATATATAAACACCCACACACACATATATATATATACATATATATGTGTACAAATACATACATATATATATATATATATATATATAACTCTCTCGGATTTTGGTGAATGCAACTAGACAGGCGAAAGCTCTGAGTATTCGAAGTGCCCAGAATAATAAACAAGTACCTCATACTCAACAACACACAAGCAAGATCATCACGTCCTGTATAACACGCCCACATGCACACTGTTTGGTCAACGTGTGCCAATTGATCCATTCACACCGCATGACAACATACTAAGGCAGAGAATCAGTGCACCCCCCGGAGTTTCCGAATAGTCGAAGTTGTACATCGCTCTAGACTCGAACAGCAGTGAGATCACGCCTGAAACGGCCACGCACATGGGGCTCTTGTATAGTAACACGGTTAGCGGCGACAGCCGAGTCTCTGTGAGCGCAGCCAGTCTTCGTTTGAGTCTGTGAGTTCCATTCTTATTGGAGGCGGCGGTTACACCGGAGTCTTGGGCACCCTATGTGAAAGGCCAAAGATTGAGAAGCTACACGGTCAACCTTGGGGTAGGGTAGGCGGCAGTGTTGAGTGGTTGTTCAGGAATTTCCAGTGCGCAGACAGTACAAAGAGTGGGAGAATACGTGCAAACCCCTTTAAAGGTCGTACAAACAACAAGCAAAATAAAGGTCTCCCGGGGGTAGTGAGAATGTATGCATAAGCAATCCTCTCAGATGTAGGGAGGCTCTGATAATAAGCATTGCAGGTTACACGGGTGTGACGATCATCCGGAAGGCTATACAGATGCCAATTCCCAGCCCATTGATGTTGTGTATTGAATCGCAGGCTAGAGCGATTTTATCAGTGGTAGCGAGGGTTAAATTTGGATATTGCGCAGAGTATATCCTATTATGTCTTCAGGAATTCATGTAATTTATATCAGGCGCAGTGAGTTCAATATGTCGCGATCATCTCAGCCTCAGTGCACGTGATTGATGACTAGAGTGTACCAAGTAAGTGGGGCTTAGTCAATACGGGTACTTATCTGCTGCAACTTCGAGACGAAGCGGAAAATTACTACTCGCGCCAGAGTGTTTCGATTACTAAATGAAACTACTACACTCATGTCGGTCCTACGTGTATACATAAGCACATACACAGGCACCCTACTCATATATTATTAAGTTAAGACACTCGTAGACATGGACCACGATAATGCTCGGAATAGCAAGACAGGAGAGTTCGCAGTAAATCACTCTACTTCGTTTGGGTTTGCATATGCAACGAAACGTATGCGTATGCCTAGGGCCGCAGAAGTAGCTGCTGACTCACAATAGATGGATTTCATACATAACGTCTTTCACGTACACCATCAAATCCTTGAAAGCAGCTTTCATTGATTATTATTTTGTACTCACATGTATGTATAGATCTTGCAGTAAGCACATCGAGTGTAGATACTGACATCATGATATGCCTAGGTAGTCCGCTAATAGAACTAAAACTGACCAAGCCGAAGTCATGCACACTCCCCTGGTCATGTCAGCTGTCATATTTGCGCGTCCGGCAAAGCAAACAAGAAAAGAGAAGACAGGCTAAAGTCATGATTCAACACATACACTTACACGCCCCCTCAGGCGATAGGATTGTGTACGTGGCCATAGAGGTGGTTTCCTGCGACGCTCCATGCCAAGCCACCATACATAGACGCGAATGCAAACAAAAAAAATTTGTCCAGAACCTCAAATTCAGGTACTGAACTGCCATCTAGTACAACTCGCTCCTACCTGTACCATGGCCTGTTGCATCACCGATCGAAGTGTCGAGGTCAACATCGACACCAGCACTGCAGCCACACCCATAAAGCTCAACCCGGCACCCCCGCCGGTTTCACTTTCGCCAAATATGGACAGCGCCATACCTACCCCCGCACCAAGAAGTGCGAAAGCTGTCTGGCGTTGCCAGTGCTCGAGGCCGCACAGAATGCCTACCAGCAGCTGTACCAGCGGAGTGAGCGATTGGAACACTACGTGCACCGACACGCTCAGATACACCAGCGACAGATTGTCCAGGCCTGTACAACGGGCGCAAACATTAGGTTTAGTAATGATGTACATGTGCACGCCGTGTGACATGTGCACTCACACGGGATTTAGGGATTTAGGGATTTAGGGGTTTAGGCAAGCAAAGAGAGGGCGATGCTTGGTACAGACACAACTGCACCAACATTTATTCCTCTGCCTTGGACGATAGCGATATAATTCATTCCGCCTCTTGCCGACTTGATACCTGTAACGCGCGTCAGGAAAGCACAGACTAGTCACGAGTTCTTAGTGATCCGGAAATCAGGATCAGAGAGTGCAGGGTTTAGGGTTTGACTGAATGGGTAGTTTCATACAAGAGAGGTTTCAGATCATCAGTATACGGCATTGTAGCACCCTCACTACGTGCAGAAAGGAATATCTGCGAGCCAATTCGTGCCATCAACTAACAGAGACCAATTCCAGAGCAGTCAATCAAGGTGGGGTTCTCTAGTATAACGGCAGCAGGATGAAAACGGTACCACTTATGTAGTAGCGAAGCATCGTTTTGAAACTAGGAAGCATACTTGTTTAAAAGGGTTAGGGCGAGTGCACGTTACATAGCCCAACCACATACCGATTTGAAGACTGGTGAGCGCCCCGGCAGGATACAGCAAGAGCCATAGTTGATCCTGAATCAGTATAGTCCAAATAGAAAAGAAAGCCTTAAGATTGAAGTGATGTAATATCAAATATCAAGTTTCAAAGTAGTCTAAACAGGACAGCCTTGTTGGTGCTGACTCTAGAGAACACTCTTTAGTGGGCCTTTGTACCATTGCAGCCTCGTCAAGAGCCCAGGCACAACGGGCGGAGGAGAGGGAACGCACGCGACCAACATCACACGCTACTACCAGCCACGCGGGTGTTTAGTAGGAACAACTCCACCGGGTGATGCTGTTCAATACATACAGCTGCATGCGATTGGAAGTGTACCACCACGTGTGAGCGTATGAATAAGAGACTGCCCTCAGTCACATACGATTGAGCCCCAGCCAAGTACCCAACCAGCACATTGACACCAACCTTAGCAATTGGCATGCACATAGAAGACGCACCTGACTGACGGGGTCTGCATTGGCGATCTTGAATCTGGTGAGAAGGAAGGCCCCGATTAAAATCACCAAATTGGCAATAAACGTGATGAAAAACGGGAAGCGGAATCCAAGCTGTGTGTAGTACGAAAGTGTGCAGTTGAGAGAGTATTTGGTTTCAATGCGATAGAGATCGGCGAGAAGTTGAAAGGGAGTATGAGTCACGGACGACACGGGTGAGTGTGTATTCGAAAAAGTGAGCAAATATACTGAAACAAGCGGATGAATACTATATTGCTCTTACGTCAACCAGGCCTCATGTTTGCGTGCATATCCGCGATAGAATCGGGGTGAGATACTCCGCGATAAACATTAAAATAGAAAGCAAGAGGCTTACAGGAACTTATGTCTTCTCAACAATACAAACTCAGCATACCAAAATATATCCTTGTGAGAGAGACTAGTGTAGTTAGAAATGAAAATTATATGGGTACCCATTAGTCAACGCCTTTCAAAGTAGGACTAAGCTGATATTCATGCGTGCGTGAAACAAACTGATATATATATATATGGATATATATATATATATATATATACACATATACATATATACATACACACATACATATATTTATAGGCACACCCACATATATACAAATACATACACACACACACACACACATATAT